CCATTCTTCTCAATGTTATCCACAATTTGTTATGATCCACACAATCAAATGCTTTTGCATAGTCAGTAAAACAGAAGTAAACATCTTTCTGGTATTGTTTGCTTTCAGCCAAGATCTATCTGACATAAGCAATTATATCCCTTGTTCCACATCCTCTTCTGAATCCAGCCTGCAACTCTGGAAGTTCCCTGTCAATATACTGCTGCAACCATTTTGGAATTATCTTCAGTAAGATCTTACTTGCATGCAATATTAAAGATATTGTTAGATAATTTCCACATTTTATGGGATCACCTTTCTTTGGAATGGGTATAAATATGGATCTCTTCCAGTCAGTTGGCCTGGTAGCTGTCTTCCAAATCTCTTGGCTTAACTGAGTAAGTGCCTCCAGTGGGGCATCCATTTGTTGAAATATCTCAATGGGTATTCCATCAATTCCTGGAGCCTTGTTCTTTGCCAATTCCTTTAGTGCAGCTTCGACTTTTTCCTTCAATACTATTAGTTCTTGAACATATGCCACCTCCTGAAATGGATGAACACTGGCCAATTCATTTTGGTACAGTGACTCTGTGTATTCCTTCCATCTTCTTTTGATGTTTCCTGACTCATTCAATATTTTGCCCATAGAATCTTTCAATATTGCAACTTGAGGCTTAAATTTTTTCCTCAGTCTTTCAGCTTGAGAAACACTGAGTGTGTTCTTCCCTTTTGGTTTTCTAACTCCAGGTCTTTGCACATTTCATTCTATTAACTGGCTTTGTCTGCTCAAGCTGCTCTTTGAAATCTCCTGTTCAGCTCTTTTATCTTGTCATTTGTTCCATTTGCTTTAGCTACTCTCTGTTCAAGGACAAGTTTCAGAGTCTCTTCTGACATCCATTTTGGTCTTCTTTTCTGGTCTTTTTAATGACCTCTTGCTTTTTTCATGGATTATGTTCTTGATGTCATCCCACAATTCTTCTGGTTTTCGGTCACTGGTATTCAATGCATCAAATCTATTCTTTAGCTGGTCTTTAAATTCAGGAGGGATATATTCAAGATAATATTTTGGTTCTTTATCTACTTGTTTTAATTGTCTTCAACTTCAAGTTGAACTTGCATATGAGCAGTTGATGATCTGTTCCACAATCACAATCATAGGAAAGAAAGAAACGACCAAAATGGATGTCAGAAGAGACTCTGAAACTTGCTCTAGAATAGAGTAGCTAAAGTGA